TTAACAGTTCAAGAAAAGAAGAGATAAAGCCACAAGGAGTCTGCACCACTGCCGGGAGCTAGAAGCCTAACACAGCAGGTCTCTCTGTGCTCTGGCTTCTCCCTGAACACAAGAACTGTCCTGAAGAGCCCTCGCTGTGTCCTTATGCAGTTTCCCACTCTGGGGCCTCCCTCCCTCTGGTCCCATGAATGGAAACAAATTGTTTTTAGCTACAATACTCCCTAGGCTCAGTCTTGACCCGTGTGGTACAGTGACTCAGTGCAGCTTGAATTTTTACATACAGCTGCATAAAGCAATTTTCATGTAAATTCCTAGGTAAATCAGCCTGCAGTTGGTCTATTACACAGACACATACACAGAAACCATTATGTTTGACAGATTAGAAGATGCTCTTTTCTTTCTTCCCAGGCGCCGTTCCCTGTGCCGTGCACAGTGTCCAAATCAGAAAACAGAGAATGCCGGACAGGTCTGAGTATCACAAGCAGTCTTCCCGCGGCAGCCTGTCCACCCTCAGTGCCTGGATGCTCTGACATCCATAAAGGCTGCTGTAAGACAGGGAGAAACCTTGCCTTGAAAAATCAACCCTCAAATGAGCAGAGAGAGCCAGGTAATTCTCTAACCCTGCCAGGAAACAACTCAGCCACTTCCTATTACCCTGGTGATATGTGGGATGCTAATAAACAGCCACTAGGGCCTCCAATGCCCCCACGGCTCCCACTGGTGCAAGCAGGCTGGCTCAGTTAGCTCACAGCAGGTGAGGGAGTTTCAAGGCTTCGAAGAGCATGTCAGTTCTCAGAGGCACCTTTCCCAGGGTGCTGAGCCAGCCAGCGCCCCCTGTGCAGCCAACAACAGGGGTTGGTGAGGGCAGCCCGGCCATCTGGAAGCTGGCTCTCTGGATCCTCCTTCCAAATGTGTTTCTGACCAAAGGCGGTACACTTCTTGAAGAGGTCCTTTTAAAGCATTAGCTACCACGGAGCACAAAAGGAAAGATGCAACCAAAACCTGGCCCAAGATGTTTGTTTATGCCATCTTTAAATAATTCATCTTTATCCCTATTGAGCCCATCACAGCATGTCAAAAAATAAATGTGTCGCCTTGGCCTATTGTTTGCAGCTCAGGATTGTCAAGCGAGAAGAAAATATTACAGAGACAGAGGGAGATACACGCAGGAGTGTGACCTTTAACTGCACTACCTATAACCAATCTCATCAAATTAAAGCACTGTATATTTTCCTTAATATTCTCTGATTAGGCTGGGGCTATGAGTGGACACGAACACCCGCCATTGCTATGCAGCGGGATGTCTGCTTAGCACCAGCAAAGCGTTTGGGAATAAGTGAGCAAAATGCTTTAATTTGATAGGGTTAGAATCCTGCAGGCTCTGGGGTCAAAGGTCCCCAACAGCTCGGCTCACACTGAATATGCAGAAATAAAAAAGTAAATTGCTTACATCTGCTGCAGGCGGCAGGGAAAATGATCTGATTGGACAGTCCGAGGGCTCTCCATCTCTTTTGGGTTAGAGAGAGGGTTTCAGAGCATCAGAAGCTTGTAATTGGAGTAATTCTGAATTAATGGACACACACACGCACATGCGCACACATGTGCAAGCACACACACGCACACACACACACGAAACATTTTGAGGCAGCTGCTTGCAGAAGCCTGCCTGTTTAGGAATGCTTACAGCCTGCAAAAGAGAGAAATGACTTCAAACATAATCTCCACCCCCCAAAACTGAATCTTAATCTTAACTCTGCCCTTGAATTTGATAAAGGTAGGCCGAGCATTCTTATCTGGCTCATCCTCCTGACAAGAAGCCTGGAAGCTATCAGACCCCTGTATCTGCTTGTCCATTTTGTCCTCCTCTCTGAAATACATGTGTATTTGGGCTCTCCTTCATGCATAAAAAGATGACTTAAAGGGCTTCGCTGGGATTCCTAGAAGTTGACATGGAAAGCTCAGGTTCTGCCTCCTCACTCTATGATAGGGGATTTAATCTTCATTTTTGATCGATAAGAATCAAAGGCAGGACTCAAGGTCTTTGGGGCATGAGCTGGTTCGCTTTCACAAGGGATGTCAGGAGGCGGCCTGCGGTGGAACCTTGATGCACTCACAGGACCCTGGGAGGAGAGCTGTGTCAAGAATCACATTAGGCCTGGCTGGGTCTGCTCCTCTGGCTGGCACTGTAGCCTACACCTACAGTGAGGCTGAGGTTGCATTTGAACCCATTGCACGTGACTTTATTCGCTTACACTAGCTTGCCAGTCTAAATAATATCATGGTGTCTGTCCCACTGTGGGCAAGCTCCTGTTGGGGGCTGAAAGCAATCCCTGGCTCCTGTGGCTAAGAGTAAGGCCACACAGAGGAAGGTTGCTAAAGTGCAGGGGACCCAGAGAAGGCATCCTGTGAAGCCAACTTTCAGCAGCAGTTTCTGAGCCAGGCACGAGCAGCTCGGAGGCCAGCCTTGGCTAGACAGCATGATGAGGATCAGTTCTGCATTCCCAAAATGCTCTTGGATGTAGGTTTTGTAAGGACAGCTCCAGGCTCCTCTAATATTTTAATAGTAATTGGAGCTCATATTCAAATTCAGGGGCTTTTTTCTTCCAGTATTCTTATTAATGCCCAAGGCTCTTTGAAATTGCCTGAATAGCCTATTGTACTCCTAGAAACACCAAGTTGATAGATTTTAGAATGCCATACACAAGCTAAAAATATTCTAGGTGTCAAATCTTATACATACTTTTCTCTATATGTACATGTGTGTGATGTGTGTGCAATATATATATGTATATACATATGACACACATATATGAGTAATTGCTTAGCACGAGCAAAGCTATGACTCTGAAACCAAGCTACATATAACAAAAATTCCATAAAGGCAACAACAATGTGTTGCTGATGTCACAGCTTCACCAGCATGGTCCAGGTTTGGCTGGGGGGAGCGGGGCAGGGGTCTGGAGCTTGTTTCTCTCCAATGCATCTCTCTAAGCATAAGTCATTTCTTCAGCCAGACTCCGCCTCTAACAAATGGCTCTGCACTGGTCCCTATCACCCTGAAGTCTCCTTTGTCTGCCTGGGCACTGCCACAGTCTATCAGAAGGTATTTGTCAACAATTACATGTCTATTAAGGCACAGTCAATCAGTGTGGGCCCAAACAGCCAGGCCTCCAGGGCTTAGCTATTGATAGGAAACTGTCAATATCCCATTGAATCCTTTTGTCCACAAAACACAGTCACCTAGCCGAAATCGTTGTCTGAGAACAACACGGAAGGCCGACATTTGTGTATTCCACTCTTTAGCCTAACATTTAATTTGAATGAATAAAAGACTTCCAAACTTCCTTAATACATGCTACTTTTAAAACCCTGCCCACACTGAGTTTTGGAGGGTAGATATTTAACATAATCAGCAATGCTAGGGAAGCATTGTAGATGTGTGCAATCATTGCTGAAAATTGCAAGTCCAGATGAAAATTAACAAAAGACACTTGAAATTAGCTTCATGTAATTAGTATCCATGCCTCCAGTACCAAGTCTGAGGTGTTTACTTTGCTCTGGAATGGGTAATGGTATTAACAGTATTTTTTTTCCTGCACATTCAACTTCAAACCTGACTACAGATTTTGCCATCATTGTTGTAAAGGGCTGGTTATTTCTTTAAAGAAAAACTGCCGAGAGACCCCATGTGACCATTTTAAAGCACTCCTCCAAAGCCCCCAAAAGAAAAGAAACTGTTAAAGTGGGAGGGGGGGTCAAAACAAAATTGCCTAAGTAAGGCTGCATCCTCTGAACTGGCAATTCTCTGCATCACAGAACACACCAGTTGTCCTACAACAAAAGGCAGCACATCAAGCCCCTCTCTACAAAAGCCCAAGACATGGAACAGTATTAAAAGCAGATGTGATAGTCAGAGCCACCAAACTATGTGAAGTGTCTTTTAAGATCTATTAAGGCATGTGTGTGTAAAATTTACAAAAACAAACACTACTATTATTTTTGAGGGGTGTTTTCTTAGAATCCCAATTCCCAGGATTTTCAGCCCCAGCCTCTCAAGCTGTAGAGAAATACGTGGAAGGCGGTCTCAGCTACCCAGGTCGGATCCAGATAGACATATTTCCCAGAGCCTCTTTGCAGTCTGTGTCCTGTGTTCATAATCCAAAGCCCAAATGATTTCAATACTGAGATGGAGCCAAAAAGGTCAAAATCCTGCATGCCAGAAGGTCCAGGTGAAGTTCCTAAGAGGTAGTGTAAAAATGGGAAATTCAAATTCAAAGTATTCAAATATAGTGGGAAAGCTGCCTCCGGTCTCGTAGAGAGAGTCGGGTTTGCCCATTCCTTTCTTGGCCTCGGCATTAGTTGGAGGCACACACTAATTAAATTACCAGCCTCCAGTCTGAAGCGGATTGTCTGCAGCTCAGAAATCCCGGGCTTCTTTCTGCGTGCGATGGCCACAAACACCATATTTGGTGTCTCTCTAGTACAGCTGCTGTTCTAGTCCATTACAGACATCCAAATGTAAGCTACCATAGGACTTTTACATAGGCCTATAGTTCATTTCAGATGTTTGCTCAGGGAATTTTATAAATGGACTTAAAACTATTCTAAGAGCATAAATTGTGAAATGCCTGGGTCAGGAACCCAAGTCATTTAGGGTCCCTGAACAGTCACTTCCCAGCAGACGGCCATCATGGCAAAGGGGCAGCTGATCTCCGTTTCTGAAAGCTCCATTATGTGTATTTACAAAATAAACAATGCATGCAAGTTCATGATTGTCATCTTTAATAATATGCATTACAGCAAGCCCTTAAATAAATATACACGCCATAGATGGCCACCAGACCCATCACGATTTTGTCCCTATACCAGATCCAAGGCATTGTCTTTGTTGGATTAGAAAGATTAAAAAAAGAAGAAAGAAAAAACAAAAACAAAAAACCTGACTCTTCCTAGAAGAGAAACAATAACAAAAAGCAATCATTATTTTAAAAAAAACTCACCATGTTCAGATGTTTTGCTCAGAGTTTCCAAGCAGAGAAGTCGGCAAGTTCAGAACGGGGTGAGAACTTGTTCTCATTAGGCTCAGCTTTGCAAGGCACAATCGAAAAGCAGGAATACAAAATGTTCTCCTTGCTTCAGTAATTAACTGTCTTTGAGAAGGAAAGACAAACAAATAAATAAATAATTTGATCTTTCAGAGTTCAAACCGGCCAGGTTGCACAGTATAAAATGCCTCTACGTGACACTCTTCAGACTTTATTTTGTGAGAAAAAAAAGTGTACTGACATATTCTTTCACATGTGAAAAACAATATGACTTACTTTTAAGAATTTTAACTCATAGTCTAGCAGTCTGGGTGCCACTGAACAAGGTCTTACTGAGAGTCTGCTAAAGCAAGCTTTCATTTTTTTAATTGGCTGTTTTTGTATATTTTTATAATTGTTTATTTTAATATATTTTATATATTACTGTAGCCCCTTCCCATTGGGTAATCTCTAATTAAAAATAGAAATCAAGTGAAAGAATTAACTCAAAGCAACATTCTTACTTGTAGAAGTTTACATTCTAAAAAGCCTAAAGTTTGTTTAAAAAAAAAAAAGGAACTTAAGCTTCTCGTTGTTAATTTTGGTTTTGCTTAAATTTTCAGCACATGCAAGATGGGTGAAGAACAATATGCAGGATCATTCTTATGTCCATGTGCAGTTAGAATGCATATACATATGTAAAACATCATCATTTGCTAACAGAGATGGGCGAGCAAAATGCTTTAGAGGGAGAATGCATGAATGGGTATTAACTGTGCTGATTTTGCTAGCCAAAGAACCAGTGCTTTGGGGATTCTGAACATCAGTTTGCTGCTCCCACTTTGCCTCAAATCTTTGATAAGTGTTACAGCAGGCATTTTCAGGCAGATATTTCCTAAGTTTTTCTCAAATTTTTATCAGAAGGAAGGCAAACATGCAGACAGCAGAAGAAACTCAGAAACTGTGGGGCTTGACCAAGGCCACACACAGCTTTCTATGTTACATACAAATTCCCAGATTCCAACACACACACACACACACACACACACACATACACACACACACACACACACACACACAGAGGAGGGTGGGGAAGAGGCAGAGACAAAGACAGACAGATACAGAGAGAAGGAGGAAGAGGAGGAGATGATTTTGTTTGTTTTTTGTCTATTTGACTAAGACTCTGTCAGCGGTCTCTTGTATGCTTTGAAATTGGCTCCTTCACAATCCTGGAGAGTCCCAAAATGTTAGCAAATTAAACCATTTGTCTCCCTGGAAGCCTAGGTGCATTTTACGGTTCAGAATGAAGAGGCGCAGGAGAGCCCATGTGTGCTCCTTTGACTTAACTGCTCTTCAGCTCTCAGCAGGCAACTTTTTAGCTGGAGAGGGGCCAGGGCCCTGAACATTCAGGCTAGCACCTGGTGCCCAACCCCTGCCAGAGGCACGGGGGAGCCAGGTGAGGTGGGGTAAGGCGTGCTGTCATTGCCCATGCTCGTGAGCCCCAGCGGCAGGACTGTCTTATGACACTTCTGAACAGCAGAAAGGGAGGACAGCCGTCCACAATATCCTCTGGTTTCCAAATTAAACATTAACAGGCTGTGTTTTCCCACCTGTTGTGACATCTATGTGTCTCTGAAGAACACATTTTTAGATTTGCATGACTGAAAATGCAGCTCTCTCTCTCTCTCTCTCTCTCTCTCTCTCTCTCTCTCTCTCTCTCTCTCTCTCTCTCTCTCTCTCTCTCTCTCTCTCTCTCTCTCTCTCTCTCTCTCTCTCTCTCTCTCCCTGGCCAAGCTCTCCAAAGGGCTCAAGGAGGAGCAAATAGGTTGACATCTCCCAGGCTAAGCACTTCTGAACGAAATTGACTGGGGAAAAAGAAGAAAGAAAAGAGAGAGAAGAAAATGAAGAAGAGAGGCAGCTTAAGCTCAGCATATTTACAGAGCGCATACTTTTGTTTTAATTCACAAAATCTACGCCAGAAATCCAGCTTGCATTAGGAAGAAAGCATTTCTCAACAAATTGTTTCATAGACATGCTTCCTGCTCAATTCAATGATACACTTTTTAAGTTTTATACAAATTATCACTCATTCAAGTTTGGAATTATTTAAAAACACACCAGACCCTTCATCTTCATTTGCTTACACACACACACACACACACACACACACACAACCCTACTGCAAATTTTTAGAAACATGATAGAATTGGGATAAAATAAAAGTCTTTGATAATCACTTTGTCTATTTAATTAGGAAGTATTATTTCCTGTTTTTTAATTCAGCAATTTCTCTGTGAACAATAGATTAGGACACACCTTCAAATAATAATTACAAAAAAAAAATCTAGCATTTTTAGCAGTGAATGTCCAGATGCTACTGGCAAAAACTGCAGTATCTTACCGCCATCTACTGGCCATTATTATAACATTATTTAAAGGTACAGGTTTACATTACCAGAATTAAAACATTTAGAACCAAATACATTCTGGAGGCTCTGCTCAAGGTCATCGTTATTTTGTGTGTGGTCCCAAATGTTTAAGACATTTTTAAAATGCTACATTAATTTCTGGGTCTTGCTTTGCCCTGGGTGGCTCTAAAGATAATGTCACTTCACTCTTTAAAGGTACAGAACTCTGAAAACAATGGTCATAATCTCCCTTGTCCACACCCTTGCCAATCCAACACACACACACACACACACACACGCACACATGGTCACTTCTCCAAGCAATACTGCCAGCCTTCATTCTGTTCTTGCTGGTGTTGACTTGGTTTCCCAGTGACTGTCTGCTAAACCTGCTTCTTGTCCCATTAAACGCTGTATTAGACAGAGAACCGTACTCAGGATGAGCTGTTCACCTCCTGGGCCTGTCTGATTGACCTTTAGCAACACAGCCAAAACTCACAGTCAGTAATTTGGCAGCCAGAAGCATCATGTACTTGTTTGCCCTCAAGCACTTTCCTCACCATTCTGGGCTGTGACTCCTGCAGTTGTTTTATGAAGGGAAAAAGGGTTAACATTATTTCTTTTTAGCCTGTGGTTCCAGTCTGCAGAAGCATTTTTGTTGTTGTTGTTGTTGTTTCAGAATTCTACTTTCTTCTCTAATTATTTAATGATTGTGCATTTGTCAAGTATCAATATTATTATTTATTCATCATAAAGCTCTCTAGTCAGACTGGGCACATTGTAGGCAGATATCGTGAGTAGATTCAAGTGCTTCTCATACTGCCCAGCACACCATAAAACTTCCAACAATGGCTGCAATTCTTTTGCTATCACAAACTCATGCTGCAACAACTGGACTCTCTGACAAAAAGTGCTGCAATACCACTGTGGATTCTAAAGACAGCCCTTAGTCCACCTTCTGCGGTGTCTACACTTCACCACGGCTCACACACAGGCACGGAAGCGGCTTGCCTTCTGCAGCCGATGTCTCAGCTACTAAGGGAACAAGCTACTTTATTTATTAACCAGGAGCCCATGCACTTTGGCTGGAGGCTTCCTGCAGAGCCTCCTCAGACACGTTTTTCTAGCTGAAGCAAGAGCAGCTGTCAGAACCAAAAGGAAGACAAACGCTGTGGAGGAAAACCGAGGAATGGAAAGCCCGGTACCACATTCTTGGCACCTAGGCAGTCGCTCCCCTAAAATTGCCAGCAGCCCAAGTCCCTGAGTAAGGCTACCATACTTGGGCACAAACCCAGCTTAAGGAGGACATATCATCATCTCCTCGCCTGCAGGGTATTTAAGCCCCACCACCACCACCAGTGCTTTAGTTAAACCTATGACTTTTCCTGCCTCTTCTCCCACCCCATCTCTGGGGACTGGAGAACTCACCCAGTTGCTTTGCTCAAAATAAACCTATTCTTTTATTTTTTTCAATCCGGCTGGATCTGGCTTACTGCGTTGGGGAGGAATCTACCATTGAGGTACAGAAAACCTCTTATTCCTTACTTTCTTCCTTCTGTGGAACTAGCTAGACCATACAGGGGCTCTGCCTCCTAGACCAATCAACTCTGACACCTAGCCCAGCCTTGCAGAGGGAGGACATCTGCCCACCCAGAACAGGCACAGACAGACACTCCAGGACAGAGGACTCTCTGCCCTTTCAAATGCTCTTAGTACTCTCTGCTCTTTGGAATGACCCAAAATGAGTATGTCTAGACTGAGGTTATTTGATTTGTGTCTATTTGGTGTTGAGATGGAAGATGCTGTCTCATACACACTTAACAATGCTCTACAACTGAGATCCAAGCTTATTTGATTTTAATGAAAGCCTGTATGTAGTAGAGTCTGATAATCCACATTGAACATTGAATCAAAATGTGTAACATTCTCTTAATACACAGAATTTCCTAAAGAATCTGTTGACAAAAGGGTAAGTACCTCTCCTATCAGAAGCAAAGCTAAAGCAAAAACATTCAGCAAACATTCAGTCCTGTCCACCAAAAATAAGTAAACTCCGGCTTTAGTTTTTATCAGTACAGTGCTGTGATCAAACCCAGAACTGTCAGCACACTAAGCAAGTGCCTCCTAGTGAGCTACACTCCCAGCTAGTTTTTAAATACAAAAAGGTCACTTTTCCTAAAAGTTCATTTATTTAAGAAAGCCTGGAAGATGATATAATAAATAACAATAGAGCTTTCTGATAAATGCCACCTCTTGCTACATGTTGCATTCTGGGTTTGTGATTTTTTATGACAAGGTCGTAAACTATGGAAGAATAGAAGTAAGTCAAAGGTTCCATATAGGCTAGGGAAAGATGAGCTCTGATCATGTGAGTGAGGCACAGGGGCCTCCGGCCAGCATGATGGTTGAGTTTCAAGTCCTCCCAGAATTCCTTCAGGGCTTTAACCTTTGCACCAGAGGGCCTGCACTCAACTATTGACTGACCAAGCCAGACAACTCTCTGGCAGAAGCCTACAGACATACAGGAAAGTGATCAGTAGGACTCTGGGAGATGCCTGTAAGAGAGGTCACACTTCTTCTTGTGTCCATCTTTCTTGTTCTGTCATTAAATCAAAAGGCCCCTCAATCATTTCTTTGCCAACATTCATCCTTCCTCCTTATCCAAGTTCCCCAATGGGAATGAGTCATCATGGACTCACTCTGTCCCCTGACACAGTC